CCTTGCCAAATCCGTCTTCTTTCATATCCAAAAACTCTTTTTGGGAATAGACTTCGTAGCTTTCAAAATGCATGGTATGATAATTATGACTGGTTGGAATACAGTAAAAGTAAAAATGCAGTATACTGTTTTTATTGTCGAGCATTTTCTTTAAATAATGTGGCAATTAAGGGTCATATTGATCAAGCATTTATAAGTAAAGGATATTCAAATTGGAAAGATGCATGTAATGCTTTTAAATCCCATGTGAAATCAGTATGTCATACAAATTGTGTAGAATCTTGGTCAGTATTTAAGTCAGGTGTCTCTATTGATGTTCAATTAAAAATTCAAAACGAATTAGATTTAAAAAATAGAGAGAAGGACCGTCTTCATAACAGAGAAGTTTTAAAACGTCTAATCGATATAGTTATATTGTTATCGAAAACTGGACGATCATTTAGAGGCCACGATGAAAGTTCTAAAAGTATGAATAAAGGACTCTTCTTAGAAACTGTCAATCTACTAAAGAAATATGATCCTATAATTCAAGCTCACTTAGAAAAAGGCCCAAAAAATGCCCAATATTTAAGTAGTAAAATACAAAATGATTTAATTAAGTCTCTACATAACGTTATATTTCAACTTATTCTTAAGAATTTAAATGGAAAAAAAGTTTCAATTATGGCGGACGAAACTAGTGACTGTGGTCATATAGAACAAATGGCTATTGTCCTAAGGTACTTTGACGATGAACAAAATAAACCAATTGAAACATTTATAAGTCTAAAACAGTTGGAGTCAACTACTGCAGAATCTATTTTTAATGTTATAAAATTAATAATTTTGGAATTAAATTTAAAATGGGAATCAGTAGTATCTGTTTGTTTTGATGGAGCAGCATCAATGGCTGGTAAAATATCTGGTGTACAATCAAAGTGCAAAGAACAGAATTCGAAAATACTTTATGTGCATTGTTTTGCGCATTGTTTGAATCTTGTATTGGTTGACTCTTGTATTTCACGAATGGAAAATTCGATCATTTTCGACTTCTTTGGCGTTATTCAAATGGTTTACAATTTTATTGAGGGAAGTCCAACACGTCATGCAATATTTGAACAAATTAAAAATACTATGAATTTAAAATTAAAATCATTAAAATCTTTATCTACAACCAGATGGGCATGTAGAGCAGAGGCAGTATCTGCAATTCGTGAAAACTTTTCAGCTATAATAAAAACAATAATTGAAGTAAATAATATAACGAATTTGCCTGAAGTCAAAGTTAAAGGAAAAGGAATTATTATGCATTGTCAGAGTTTTAATTTTATTATTTCCTTAGAATTAATGCATCCCATACTACAAATGATTCTAAAAGTAAGTCAAACACTTCAAAATCCTTCAATTAATTTATTGGTTGCAATAAATGAAGTTAAGAATCTTCGTTCAGCTTTACAACAATTACGTTGTAATAATGATTTCTATGATGAAGCATATACAACAGTTTTAAAAATTTGCAAAGAATATGATATTGATGAACCATCGATTAAGTTAAGGAAAAAATCAAAACGTTTTGATGACAACATAGATAATGAACATATTTTCAATACAAAAAAAGAAGAAATTCGTGTTACTGTATTGATTCCCATGTTAGATTCTCTTATATATGGTATTGATCAACGTTTTAATCAAGATACAATATCTTTAATTACAGCAGTCGGGAAAATGTTAAAACTTGACTCAAATAAAGATGATATTAAATTGTTATCGTCATTTTTTAATATTTCTGAAGAGGAATTAATTTCTGAGATCCGTCTACTTTTGTCTCGTGACTTAGATTGTGTAACACAACTTGTTAAACAAGATTGTATGACGTGGCTAGATTGGTTCCGAAAAAATGAAATTGAAGGTATATATAATAATTTTATAAAAATTATTAGAGATTTTTGTGTGATTCCAGTAACCAGTGCTTCTTGTGAAAGAGCATTTTCTAAACTCACTCATGTAAAAAGTAAACTTCGATCCACCATGAAACAAGACCGTTTAGATGACCTTATGCTACCATACATGGAACAGTCTTTGGCTAATAATGTTAATGTTGAGAATGTCATTGAAGAATTTAAAAAATTGGTACCATTTAATCGTCGTCTATTATTATAAATGTATTAATTAATTATTATATTTTTTTATTTATTATTAAATATTTAAATTGTAAAAAAATATTCATTATAATATAATTAATATATATATATATATTATGTATACATTAAACAAAATTACTACATTATAAAGTTGTTAATAGAAGTATTTTTTCATTTGGCCTGACCTAATAAAAATGTCTAGTTTCGCCTATGTGTATAACCCATAAGTACTTTGGGCGTAGGGTATCTTTTCGATGCTAGAGCGACATTTTTAGATCAACATAATTACGAGTGTATAATATAATGGTGATAGATCAGTCGTTTGGTTATAAACCATCTGAGTCAAATTGATGGCAAAATAACCTAACCTTTCTTGTCGTAAGAGCATTAGCGCTAAAATAATTTAAAACTTATTTAGTATAAGTACCATATAGGTAGAGCTACTATGAATTTTAAAGAATCGTATAGATACTAATACAATAGTAAATAAATATAAAATAGGTATTGAGAAGACATACCTACTGGTTACCACATAAAGCAACAGTGAAGCATATAACATATACAATACCTACTGCAATAGGTATAACATAGGTAATATAGCCTTTGCTGTGTGATCATAACCATTGATTAAAAATTAAAATAAATAATAAACGTTTTTAAAATATTTTTCTTTAGGTACGCTATATGGACATAATATAACATATATAACTATTGATAGTTTTAAATAATTGTAATAATTTATTCATTAAATATACTTATAATACATATCATTTTATTTTTGTCCGTTTACGCGTAATAATAAAATATCATTATTATGAAATATGTATTTTGAAAATGAATCTATGGTAATAAATAATAATTCATGACTTTTTAAAATGTTACACAATTTTATTGTTTTATTGAAACATATTTAAAATGTATGTGATAAATTATAATATAATAATTGTGAGTTATGACACAGTAGGTATTACCTATTATTAGGCTTCTTACTTGTTACCGATGTAATGAGTTTATTTTACAGATTATAATAAATTATATTTAAATAATTTGTTAAGATTAATTTCAATAATACAATAAAATTAGATACAAAAATCAATTGTTTCAACCAACTTGTACACAAGCATGGAATACTATAATATAGTTTAGTACGTACCAGTACTTATTTAAACTAGAAAGATTGCATTTTTGATAAAAATTTCTTAACCTTTTTTTATCTAGATGACCGACCACTAGACACTAGTTGGCAGTTAAAACATTAACTACTTATTACCTATATCTATATCAGACTCTACTAATGGATGATTTTATTTGGAGGATTGATTTTTAGTTAACTAAGAGATAAGTAGTATATTCAATTTCGCATATCCTTGGGCAAAGCATTTTATTTAAATGAATTTTCCACATCAGTTTTTTATGTCAGAATACACCAAGGTACTTGACAAAGTCATATTTATTATTTTAATCTATTGCTTGGTTGTCTATGAATATGTGCTGGGGAACTTAATATTATTTTAGAGTTAAGATTTTTGCTGCACTTTTTGTTGGGTTCAAGTTCAGTTTCCATTTTTTGAATCACATAGTCACGGTGTTAAGAGATGTTTGGAAGTTTTCAACTAAAAATTTAAGTTACTTTAGATTATAACGATGTATAGCGTCATTCAAGTTTCAAACAACAGTAACTTATGACTTATTTATATTTGGTTAGAAGGTTTTTAAATTTATTAAAAATAAAACTAAATAATTTACAGAATTTTTTTTCTTATATTTCATATTAAAATATTAACATTTCATGTTAAATTAATATATTTTTAATTAGTTCATATATCACGTATGTTATATACGTTACATTTGGACTTATAACTAAAACTTAAATATAATTTGGTATAAAAAAATTATTGAAAAATGTATAAATAAAAAAAATTGCACTACAAAAATGTATTATAATAATATTATTAGTTAACTAGGTTTATAATTCATACATTGAGTAAAAATAATCTTATCAATAAATTTAGAATAGATTTTTTGTGCGTATATAAACCCACCCATTCAGCCTAAAAACAATATTGAGTACCACAATAATTTTATAAAACAGGTACTAAATGTAGGCTATTTAAATACAATAATATATTTTTATCTCTAATAAAATAATAATATAATTTAAAATATAAAAAGTTAATAAACAAAAAAAAAAAAATAATAATAATAATAATAACTAAATTAAATGAGTTAAAACTTCAAAGTATAAAACATAATAGTAATAAAATTTAATACTGAAAATAAAACTGTGGTGAGAATATCTTGACACATTGTAAGGAATAAATTTTTAGACCATTATGGCAATATTGTTATCGTATTAAAAAAAAAATAAATACATGGCCCCGATGAATTGAGCTTTAAAATATTACAATTGGTATTTCAATAGAAAAAATAATTTTATTTTATTTAACAGTCTTTTTGATAAAATGACATTATTTTTTTTTGTAAAATTATTCAAAATGATCTAGTTAAAATCAAATAATATTATGGAAGAATATCTAATTTTAATTATGTCATTTTTATTAATTTATCAAGATAAGGAAAAAAATGCAGATCAATCAATAATTGCAATAGGATATTCAATTATATATTAAGTACATAAATAATATATATGAAAGTCGATAGATAACTAATACATTAATTGTAGTCAGTTGTTGAAAATAAGCAGATGTGTTATACAAAACGCCTTAATACTATGATAGTTATATACGAGGTATGTCCCAAAAGTAAGTGTATTAAATTAATTAGTGTGCACATTATGAAAATTTAAGACTATAATATAGTATACTAGTGAATCAGTTACATGACAATTAATTTATAAAAAATTTTAATCTAATGCCAAAATATTGATCAATACACAATAAAATGTGTGAACAATTAAAAATTTGCTCACAAAAAGTTTAAAAAAATATTAAATTGCACCCTATAGACTGACAATTACTACAGATATTACCAATAGTAGGGTTTTTAATTGGCACAAAGCTTACCCAAATAGTTGAGAAAATATTGAAAAACAAACCTAACCTACAAACAAATAATGAAATGTTAATTTAAAGTGAAAACAATGATCATCTTCTTTGTTAAAAACAGCAAAATTGTTCATTGAAAATTTTTACTTAAAATAACTGAGCACTTTTGTTGATGATTAAGTGCTTTTACTATGACAAAACACCTACTCACTCACCATTATTAGTTTGAGTTTTTATCCAAAAACAATATCACTAAAAATAAAACCACCTAAGGATTATACTTAGAAAGATATAACTTGTAATTATATATATATATATATCCTAAATTGATAAGAAAAAAATAGTACACTTAATTTTGAGGCATACCTAATATACTTTAAAAAATTAAGTAGTTTATACTCAATTAAATTTGAAGACTAGAAAATACATTGAATCTTGGTTTGTCAAGTCTAATAGTTATGTCAAAAATAATAAAACATTTAGACTGAAGTTTCAGAGTTCAACTTAAGAACAAATCTATTTGATTTTGGATTGATAACTTCCTCGATAATACTAAAATGGGGAAGCTTATGTATTGTACACAAAAGTGAAAGATCATTTTGCCGTAATTGAAACACAGTTCCATCTTTGAGTGCTCGAGTCAATAATTCATTACAAATTAATGACCAAGATTGAAGTGATTTTTGTTCTTTTTCGTTCTAAAAATATAAAGTTTGTAGAAAATTACAATAACAAAAATAAAAAATATTAATTAATTAATAAGAAAAATTACTTGTAATACAGGAGATGCACTCAAGTAAGGTTCTAAAAATGCCTTTGGTGAAGCATCATGAGTTAAACATAAAGCAAGGTGAGACAAAATTGACTCTACAGTATGCCTTGGCTGTTGCCTAGTTACTCTTAAATATTTTTGAAGAGATCGTGCAATAGTTGGGAAAACAGCTTGAGCAGCTTCATATGGATCCATTGCAGAACCACCACCTTTAAACACAAAATTAATTACTTATAAATCATAACTTATAATAATTTTGTAATTAAAATAAAATATAATGTTAATTATATAATAATTACCAGGATCGTGATGTGATCGTTTAACATGGGTGAATGCTTCTTCTGCAGCTGTTAAGAGTCTGGCTCTTCGCTTCTTAACTCTTCGTTCATAGTCATGTTCTTCATAGAATCGTTCATTATGACTTGAGTCTCGACGTCTAGCATGACCATTCATTGTACCTCTTGATTGGCTCATTTGAAGCGTATTACTTCCAATACCTTCAATATCATAAAATTTAAAGCTGGAAGCATTTTTTTTTGACTTTGAGACTGGTAAACGCTCTAGGTATGGATTGTATATGGAAAATTCAGTATAATATCGTTCAAGAACCCAAACAGCGGCACGCTGAATGCTTAACTGACCAATAGGATATGATCGACTTTCACCATCAGGACTCCGAACAACCTGTAATTTAAGATAAGAATTTAAAGATATATTATATAATAAATAGTTAGAATGCAAATTCTTTTTTTTTTCATTACAATTTAATACATCTTTACTTATTTTGTTTTAAGCATTAGCACCAATTACTATTATTTTTTACTTTTGTAATAATTAAAAGTACTTAGGTAATATAACATTAGCAACGACAAATATTATACCTACTCAACAATGTTAGTCTAATTTTTATACCAAAATTGAGCTTTAGTTTCAAGTAAAGTATAAAATAATAATTATTATATTAAAGTATGTTTCAGTTTTCTATTACCAAACAAAATGCATAGTCCAACACCACACACAGCATAGTATGATGTATCAGAAATGCATCATCTCATAGCCTAGCATAAATTCATCAAATTACATAGCCCTATTTAACATAAGCTATTACACATATAAATTAATTAATAGATTTTGTTCAAATTATAATAAAATAGTATTTCAAGTAAAGAAAATCATAACTAAAGATATATTGATTTATTTAAAAATATATACAAATAGACATTTTAAGCAGACAATTAAGGTCATCATTTATAAAAAGGGATCTATTTAAGTGTTAACACTTGATAATTAGAAGTTAACTTTTTTTTTAAATATTTTTTTCTCTAAATTTTATGCATTAAAACATTTATGAAAAATTATAATTTTTAGTTTTATTTTTTTGAACGACAACATACATTTTTTTCATATTCTAAATCTCAATATAAATGTTTAACAACATAAAAACACAAAAATGTCCTAAAAATCTATAAAATGTTTTAAACTAAAAATTAATTTGAAATTTATAAACATAAAAATGCTTAAAATTGTTAAGATTATTATTTTTTTTTTAAATGATTAGTTATAATATATATACATATGTATTATATGTTATATTTTTTATTTTTATATCAAAATAATTTGTGTATACTAAGAGGACTACTTTTAATATTGACATGTTAAAATACGTTAATTAAATTATGTAAACAATTGATAGTGATGTTATCTAATCTGATTATCTATGATGGAATGTTGATAAAATTTAAAAATATTATACTTGGATATCCTAGTAATAAGTTATTGGTAGTATAAAAAATTGAGTGGTTTTGTCCTTTCTGTTATTTTAATAATGTATGTGGTAATTTGTGACATGTTTAATAATCCAATGTTGCTTAATTTATTGGGGATACATACCTTGATGTAGAAAGCTGGCTGAAGATGTCTTATTTCCATTAACACTATGGCAACATAATGAATACAAAGTAAACAATCACATAGGGAAGAAGAATAAGATACTAAGGCACGATACTCAAGTAAATCTTCACCTGTAGCTGTTGCTCGTACTCCTGAAAAATAAGATTTTCTATAAAATAAATTTTATATTTTACAACTCATAATCTCATAAATAGAAACATCAAGATAATAATTTATATAAATCACATAAACTTCATAAATTCAAAAATAAGCTAGATAAAGAAGCACAAGTATTAAATACAATTTCTTATTTTTTAACTCATTTAGAGAACAAAATTAATTTTTTTTTTTTTTATCAGCATCTCAATATTTTTAATACATTAGGAAAAGTGAAATCTGTTAATGAAAATAACTATCAGTATTTTCTACAACAATTAATCTTTAAGAAAAATACTAATACTTCATTTGAAATAAAATAATAAATATATTTTTTTAATTGAGCTATTCTAATAATTCATGTATTTAATATAAAAAAATTGCCTAATAATTAAAAGTATTAGATTTATCCTGTGAAAATTTTCCAATGCAAGTTTTTACATAATTTTTTACTCATTTCAGATTTAATATACAAGTTCAAGTAAGAAAAAATTATATTTTTCTTTGTAAATATATTTTTACTATCTATTTATGATGACAATTTAGATTTAATATAATTATCTCATAGAAAAAATAGATGGTTAAAGTTTCTTAATTTAGAAAATATATATTACATAATTAAAATAATATAAACAATTAATTATTAAATAATAATATCAAAAACTTACCTTCCGTGACTTGAACTACATAGAAAAGCCAAAAAATACCACAGCAAATCGACACTAATGCTAAAACGATTGCTCTAAAAACATAAATACGGGGCATGGTTGCTTTCATGGGACGTAGGAAAATTGCCCATGACGCCACAGCCAATAAAAACATTTTAAATGCTAATGAAACTAACACTCCTTTACATTCTGCGCCACAGTTTAACAGGGTTTCTCTTTGTTGAGGGCTAAGATTTGTAGCTGCGGGACTAAAAACACCTAATTAAAAGAATAACAACATTAATTTAATATAAAATTTATACTATATTGGAATAATAAATGTTGTTTTAATTCCTACAAATAACCTTAGAGTTCATTGAAAGACATATTATACATATATAGGCATTCAGTTTGTTAGTGTATTAAATATAAGTAAATAAGGTAAAAATTTAGCTTGCTTATTTACAAATATCAAATATTTAATAATGCATTTTGAATAAATTACCTAATTTTGGTAAAACTAGCATAGCTAACGGGCTAAGAAAAGCGACTAGAGACAAAAGCCCAGTCAAGGTAGTAGCTATATAACGATGGCACAATATTGGAAAAGCACTTTTTTGTTCAGTATCTGGCCAAAGAGCGCCCATTTCTTCCATTGATCCAGACTGTACTGAAGTATTACCAGTAATTGCTGTAGTGTTTTCACCCCAATTTTCATCCTATAAAAACATAATAATATGTTAAACATTTAAAATCAATACCATGATAATTTATTACTAATGTTACTTAACAATAAAAAAATTATATTTCATAAAATATATTTTTGCTCAAGATAATTTTATAATCGGTACAAAACAACATAATAAGCATGCTTAAAGAAAGTAGAAATAAAAATAACAAGAGATTACAAGTTAAAAGTCATCCAATAGTAATTACTTAATTTGGAGATGAAAAAAAAGAAGAGAAACATGTGATTTAAAGTAAAAGATCTCTACATAATTTTCTTTTCAGTGAGTATCAAGAAATAGAATTTTTGATAAGAGGGTTTTCAAAATTATCTAGATGTGAGAAAAATTACTTTTAAAATATTGCAATTGTTTTGATTATATAAGTCATCACTCATCATAAAGATTTAAAATGTATGAAGTGTTAGTGACTTTACATAGTGTAATTCTGGTAAATTTAGATTTTGTTTAAATTAATTTTTTTAGCGGTTTATATTGATTTATTAATTAGAGTACCACAATGAAATAAGATTGAGGTGAGATTTCAAATTTACCAAAGCTATTAAATTATTTCATGGATTGAGATTATAGTTTTTTCATCAACATAATCAATAACAAGGATATCTTGCAATATGAATTGACTTATTACATTAATATTAAACAACACGATAGATAGTATACCTCCTAGAAGTAAATATGCATTGATTAAAACCAGTACAAAAGTCTAAGAAAATTCAAAAACTCTCTGTTAGTTAGAATTTCCACCAAGCAATATTTGATTAAACACCTAAGAAATAACTAGGAAAACATAGAGCAGATAATTGCTTATGTATGAAAACCAAATTGAGTTGTAGAGTAGTTGGTTAATGATAGTGTGAAGGAAAAAGTATAAAAGAATATGACTTTCACATATTTTTAACAAAAAAAAAAAGGTATAAGTCTGATCAATTTACATGAGTTTGTTGAGTTTGGGAGTTTATTCAATTTAGGAAACTATAACTATGCAAGAGATAAACATAAAATAGTAAAAATTAGTTAATCTCAAGATCAACTTCAAGATTTATATCAAAAGAATTATTGTTATATTTGGTAAACATTTCATAACTTTTGGATTTTTTTTAAATTTTCTAGAATTGTTTTTAATCTTATTTTACGTGATATATTTGGTAATGGAGAATCTAAGATTTTTTTACATAATCTATATGGCAGTGATCATGCATATTGACATGATACAAAATATTTGAAATATTATTATTAATACTGATTAGATGCAATTAGAAAATAAATTTAATATGTTATATAAGTTCATTTAATGATGAAATTGCTTAAAATGATTTAAAGTTATAATAAAAGCAAAGTAAACTCTATTAGATATTGAGCAAGTTAAATAATTTCATAACAACATAAGTATTGAACAAACTTAGTTACCTTAATTTTATAAAATATGAATAAATTTAAGTTGGATAAGTAATAACTTGAGTAATTTAAGAAAAAAAAAAAAAAATTAAAGCTCTAAAATTATAAAAACATAAATTACTTGTGGTAATATTTGCACTTCAACAACATCTTGTCCATCTCTTGTATCATCTAACATCACAGTAGTTTGATATGGTGCCATAGTTGTTTCGTATGGATTATTTAAGCTATCAGAATATTTGCGAGCAGTTCGAGTATTATTTCTAAAAATAAAGATATTAAAAATGATTTAGAACAATAAGTTATGAATCAAGAAATAGAAACTTACTTATAACTGTTAGATCTATGATTACTACCAGATTTTAGTGAGTGACTCTTGTATTTGGAACTGTACTCACTCATGGACCTTATAGACTCGGTGTCCATAATGACAACCCAATGTCTTGCACATCACCTGTAGAAAGTAAAACTCAAAGGTGAAAAATCTAGGGAAGAAAATGAAAAGAAATCTCACACACTGATAAATATCAAACGAACATTCTAAAATAGTTTTTTTGATATTTTAATTAGGGTAAATTAAATATTATGCCTAACACAGGTAATATTAATATTTAATGATAAATTGATTGGACTATTATTATTAAACGTAAAAGAATTAGAAGGTAAGTAAAAAAAAAAAAATAATTACCCTTTATTTACAAACATTACTCAATCGTAGCCTGTGCACGGTGCACGTATACAATTATACACATTTTTGTTGTACTCGACAATCGTAGTCGTAACTATTTTCAATTTTGTTTACATCCGTCATCTAGCCATGATAAATTATATATCTTGTCCGCAGTCCTGCAGAGTAACGAGCGTTTAATGACCCTAAAGTATGTGATGATTTCATGATAAATATTTTTTGTAGGTTATGCCCGTAGTAAAGACATTTTACGTTGCATCGTTTGACACCCTGCTGATAGCGCTTATTCTGGGAATTCATTATCAACGCCTATCGATAAATCATAATATTATTATTTATTATATTTATTATCTAATATATTTTAACATCATACAGTATACATCACCATTTATGTTGTAAAAAATACTTTAAAAATTGTAAATACAAATATATATATATAATATATTATATCCATAAGAAAATATTCACAATAAGTTGCAAGGGAACAAATTCAAATACTTGGTAAGTACTTAAATACTTTTTTAGTTGTAAGCTTGGGTAAAAAAATCAATTGGATAATTAAAAATTTCTAAATTAGAATTTTAATGTACTTACTTGCCACGTGTAAGTAATTTATAATTAAAAACTTTTTACTACTTACTTAATTTTATACATAAAAGTTCTAAATTAATACTTTATTATTAAATAAATAATAAGTGCAGGTTGTTAATAAAATATAAAATATAAATTTAATAAATTGATTTTAATTGTGTAAAAATAATTAAGTGCTATAATTAAGATTGGACAGGTTACGAAATGGAAGCCAAATACAAAAAGGCCTAGAGGACGTCCTAGACAAAGATGGAAGGATAGAGTGGTCAAGGACTTGAGGGAACTTGGAATAGAGGACGGGGAAGAGCTGGCAAGAGACCGAGACAGGTGGAGGCAAGTGGTTGTTGCGGCAATGGGCCTGAATGGCCTGTAAACGCCTAAAAAAAAAAAAAAAAATAATTAAGATTACTGATTACTAAAAGATAATTTAAGATTTGACAAATAATTATTTTAAATTTTGAAAAGCATTTATCAGCATAAAATTATAGAAATATTGGATTTTTAACTACTAAGACGTCCAAGATAGTAGGTATTTAAATTAATTTACCGAAATACTTGACAAGACCGATCAACTCGTTCTAAAATTATTCATAAAAAAATCCTGTACCTAATAATAGTATCATTTGGTTTAGGCTTCTAAGATGGACAATTATTTTGAAGTTCATTTTTTTCAAACCCACTAATATAAACAATAAAATAATTAGTATTTTAAAAACATTTAATAAATAAAAATGAATGTCAGGCTTCTAAAATATTTTTACACCAAGCCTGATGGACCTCACAATTATTTTCTTTTTTAAACCTTTCAAATTTTAAGAACTCAAATCTTTATCATTGGTGTATAATATACCAATAGTTCTTATTATTGATACATTATTTAGGTATGGGCATTGGATTAATGTGGCATACCGAACAAAACTTACCGAAATATTAAAGAGTTGTGGGAATGTCCCAAGTTCTAATCGCAGCGTCAAGTGCACATGTGAATCCGACGTTAGTTTTACTCATCGGTACAACTACAATCACGTAACAACGTCATATACATATAGTTAGCTCTGTAATACTACGACGTCATGGGCACAGTCTAAGATTGTTTTATTATCATCAATCATATTATATTTTAATCAATTGTAATACAATGGATTTGAATTTTGGAAAAAGGCGGCGACGGCATACAGTGTTACCATTTCACAAACTGGTATCTCGGGTACCGGCGTGCCGGTTCACGATTCTCGTCCGTCACCGGGGACCAGTCGCCGCGGTCACCATTCTACATGTAGACAAGTCTACTCCCCACCACCACCGCAGTCGCAGACCCTTTAGAAATGCAACGCACACACGCGCGCTCAACATTGCTATATTAAACATATATTTTAATGTATATATATATTAGTAGCTACATATATTGAATATATATATATACATATTCTACTCGGTTCGACGTTACCCATCCCGTTTCTTCATACGGGTCCGTCCCGCACCGACCGATTACCGTTTTAGGTCATTTACTAGTGCATTATCGTCCAACGCCATATAATTATTCCGGACTTAGCATTTATAATAACATAGCTTCCGCCGCCGCCTCTCGCCAATCGTTTGCACCGCCACCGCCCGTCCACGACTACGACGACGACGACAAAGTACAAACACTACAAACATTAATCATTCAACGTGCTTACATTTCGGTCAGTGAACGAGATACCCGATAATATTATTTATTATTATTGTTATTATTGTTATTTACAAATTAATTACAATCGTCCATTCTGTTAGCATCACGCAAATGCTCATTTCTCGAAACTGGTAAGTCATGTCCCCAATGATCAAACATGCGTTCCGTTCGCCACCATGGCCCCCGGACTGAATTTTGGGAGTTGTTCGTAGCATTTTGTCAGCACATACGTCCATCGTCTTGTTCATGTAATATATTACCTTAGCGTTTCAGCTCGACGGAATTGTGCATGTTTCGTTGTTTGATGAAACCATGTGTCCCATTTCGCTATCAGTCATGTTTCAGTAGCTTGTTCGTGGACAATCCACACACTTTTAAGTACTCTATCGTTGCTAATAAATTGTATGTGTGTACAGTAATTAGTAGGGCTTAAGTTTTTTATAGCTTCACGTAAGTGGGTACACCTAGTTTATTTCTGGAAAATTTTCAAAAGAACTATTAAAAATGTATTCAATCTAAAATTGAACCTATATCATGTTACTGTTGTTTTTATTAATACATTATTACTAGCAAGTCTATAGAAAGATATATGTGTAAATAGTTTTGAACACAATGTAATTGAATTTTAACATTGGCATTTTCATTTAATTTCTGTGAAAATAGCCTAAGTGTGTATATCGTGCTGTTACATCCTGTTTTAACACATTGACTGTGCATAATATGTATTTTAAGTCACTTCCCATTGACCATTGTGCATGTAACTTCTCAAAATACTGCACGTTCATTGAAATAATACATAAATAAGTGGCTACCATCTATTTATATTAAGAAATATCCTATGATTATATATCAAATTATGATCCTATACAAATACTTAAAAATCAAGAATTTATCAGTAATGTATGTAAGTATGACATCAAATGATGTCAAGCACATTGTTGAAGCACCCGTAATATTCCATTTAGTGTTCTTGTTAAAATAATATAAAATTTTATTAACCAACATTTTTTCTTACAGTCTTAGAACATTTGAATAAATGCACTATTGAAGTTTATTGTTGAATACAAAATACTTAGTTAATTTTATTGACATGGAGACTACATCTACCGTGTCAGAAGAACCTTCTGTTGACAAGATTACTCAGGTTAGAAAATTTTATTAAAGTTTTATTGTAACTGTAGTTGTATATTAATTATATTTTTTTTTTTTTTAGCCAAGTAATCAAAAAGATACGTCATGCGTGTCCAGTACAGTAACAGAATCCTTGCCCAAACAGGTAGATGCTGCTGATAGCACATCTGTTGCCACTCAAGCTTCCGAGTTAGATATAGCAGATTCAAATAATCCGTCTAATGATAAGAATCGTAAAAAAAAAGACCGTCACTTAGCTCAAGCATTGAAAACTGTTTTGAATAGTATGAATTCATTAAAAACACCTGAAGAAAAATTAGCAGCATTATGCATTAAGTATGCAGACCTTATTGAAGACAACAATAAGCTTAAAGTAAATATAATTTAAAAAATGTAAAAGTAGCAATATTTATTATTTTTTTGATTTTTTAATTTTGTATATTAGACTGCTTATAAACAAACTGAAAAAAGAGTATCTCAGGCATTAACAGAACGTGATATAGTTAGAGGTGAAATGAATAAAGCAGTTATGACAAGAAGTCGATTGGAGAGCTTGTGCAGGGAATTGCAGAAACAAAATAAAGCAATAAGAGTAATAATTAGATTTATATTCATTCATTTTAATTTATTAAAAAAAAAACTGTTTTTTTTTTTTTTTTTCCAGGAAGAGAGTCTGAAACGTGTCAAAGAAGCTGAAGATAAACGTATTGAAATGACAAATAAATTTCAAAACACATTAAGTGAAATAGCTTCAGTGATGCAACAAAACAGTGAGAAAAACAACAAGCTTCGAGATGATAATATGGATATGTCTTCTAGGCTTAAGAATGTGTGTGAACAGTATGAGCTTAGAGAACAGGTAAATGGCGCTGTAAGCACATATAAGTTTATTACTATTATTATTGTACAGTTTTAACTAGGAATTGATTCTTAGTATAGAATACTTGTTAATTGTTGTAGCAAGTAGTTAAGTTAGCTAAACAAATTGAGCTTGAGACCCAATTATGTGATGCTAAGTTGGCCAAAGCAAATATGGAAATCAGTGTAGAACGAGAAACTATTTTAAACGAGAAGACTCATTTATTAAAGGTTTGTATTAATCATTTGATTTTGCTTTAAATTTATTTAAATTGTAATTTAAAAAATAATTATTTTTTTTTCAAAAGGAAATACGACTTTATCAAACTAGAATTGAGGAAATGCAAAATACTGAAATTGACTTACGAAACCAAATTTCTCTATATAATGAAAAATATGAAGAATTTCAAAATGCTCTAGCACGAAGCAATAAAGTTTTTGCTGGATTTAAAGGAGACATGGAATTAGTGAGTAACAAATAGTAAAAAATAAATTATTTATATTGAATATATTATTTTAATTTTTAGATGTCAAAAAAAATAGTTAAACAAGAAAAAGAGTCTGCTAGTTGGAAAATGCGTTACGAGCGCTGTCAGCAACTTTTAGATGAAATGACTACTGAACGTACAAGAATGATAAGTGATTTATCTGTAGCGACTCGACAATTGAGTACCTTACAAAAATTATGTCGAACTCTCCACTCTGAACGACAGGCACTTTTATCTAAGTTGGAACATGGGAAAAAAATGCCTGAATTACCACCAGATGTAATATCCGGAGAAGTGGCTGAACGTTTCACAGATGTCAACATGTGTGCAATGGCGGAATGGTTTGCACGCACAGATAATGCAAAATCTAAACGTAAATAAATTTAAATTTTTGGCCGACTTTGTACTCATTTCATCGTCGCATTTCAGCAGATCAGTCCAAAGAAGAGACATTACAATCAGTCATTGATAACCAAATGAAATCAGCCAAGGACTCGGGTGAGCCACCACTTATAAATGGAGAAGATATGTCACCGGAATCCCCTTCATCGACTCAATCACATATATCGGATGAACCTGCCTATGATACTGGTGTAAGCAGTAGTTCGTCAGTTAATGGAGATAAAGTAGAATGCATTGTAGAAAATAATGTTGAAAATAAGTCAGTTAATGAACAAGAGTCTAAAAAGGCTGACATTAAAAAAGCCAAGGTAATTATAATTATTTACTTTACATGATATTTGTTTTTTGTATCTGTAATTTGTTCTTTTGTAATAAATATATAATAAGATTCAAGAGACATCGGTTTAATATTACTGTACATTAAAAAATGTATCTTATACAGTTTTATATAAAAACAACGTACAAATATTATATTATTGTACTTCTTTAGATGTTCTAAATAAATATAATATGTTAAAATCTTAGTGTCAATTTAGTTCAACAATATTACTTATTAGTAGTTCGATACAAAATTGTATAAAATTGTATACATTATTGTGATAAAGGCAAATCACAATTATTCTGTTACCAAATTTAATGTAGGTATTAAGAAAACACTTAAAGTTATCAAAAAAATAAGAACTATTTCAATATAAAAACTATATATTGTACAACACTATTAATTTAATCATAATTTTTAAATTAAATTAATTTTAATTTTTTCTTATAAAGGTATTAATTTAACTATTATGAGTTAAATAAATACTTTTTAAATTGACATGTGACACTTTGTTTACTATCCATCTTAAATACCTATTAAACTTTACTACTAAAAAAAAAAAAAACACCTAACCTGTGTATCTTATACAATGCCAAATGTAAAAATAAATCAACTGTACGTTACTCACCTAACTGCTATGTTTAATTCTTTCAATTGAATGTTTCAGGAAACTCAATCGAAACGGAAGGCTAAGAAAACGTAGTAATTTTTGCCTTTGCTTAACATGTAGTAGTTCACTAATACTAAATTTATGAGTTGAAACTGCCAACTGTATTTATGAAACAGTGGATGTTTCTTATAAGCAAAATTTTTATTATCGTTTTATTTTCAAGTCATTATTTATCTAAAGATTATTATCTGTAATCGATTTTAATTTTTAATTGAATTAAGCTATGTATTGAATTTATGAAAACAAAAATTTTATTATTAATTATTATGATGGTATTCATTTATACATTGTAATTATTGTAATATCTATTATCATTTATTTTATTTATATAGCTTTGCCAATTTTGCTTTTATCGTAAAACAAATAATAAAAAAAAAAATTATTTAAACAAAACAAAATTTTATTTTTTTCCAATATAATGATCTTGTGTTTTTAAATGGTGCCAAAAATATTATTAAATTATGATTTATGTGAAAAGTATCTGTCATATTTTATTGAATAAATTCAAATTGTTAATATTGTCCTTGAACTATTTTCCTTTTCAGTTTTTATTTGGAATAATTATCTATTTTAAATTTTAAATTTTAAACTTTTGTTATTTGTAGTTTAAGTAAGTAGTAACCTATTTATTATTAATATTGGCGATCTAACAAAAACTGAGTTCATTTTGTGTAACTTACAAAATTATAGCACGTCTAGTAGTTTATCCAGCTGTGGTTAAAGGATAAAAGGGACTATTATTTCTTGATTCATTATTTAAAATTATGATAGAGTGATGATTGTCCAGTGTATTTAATTTTTTATCTTCCTACTCCCTACTTATTGTACTTGCAACATAATGCTTGAGTAAATTATTTAACAAGAAAGATAACAATGTGAAATGAATCAATTTAATTATTAATAAGTAAAAATGTGATAATTCATAAAACCCATTCAATTCACTTGAAAGTGGTAGTCCATAATTGATAGAAATAATCTACTATAAATGTAATTAACTATTGAATGCTAATCACAAATTAAATTAAATTTTATGTGTGCAAATATGTATTAATATTTTATGTTATATAATTAAAGAAAGGTGGGCATTTTCATTTTACTTCAGGGTACATGTAGTTAATAATAAAATAGATAAAATTTGATCAGTGAAATTAGAGTTTGATTAATAAGTTCGCTAATTAATGATTTAATTTAATTACATATAAATAAATGCAGCCAATTTTCTAGACTACTTGTACTTCAGTATCTCCATAGATATACTACAATATCAATGGAAAAACTCCTTTTTTGATATAATTAAAATTTAATTGATATATTAGTATTTATAATTTATTAATATTGTCATTCAATTTGAATGGTATTGAAAATTGAAAATTTGTATTACAGCCATTTTATCACTTAAATATTCATAATAGAGAATATTTTTTTATATGTGGAATTTTTTTATTTAGAACTATTTAAAACGATTAGTAATTTTTATATTATTTATATTATTTTAGGGGGGAAAGTTTGAGGTTCATCATATTTTTTTGCATTCATAATGTTAAGAATTTTTTTTAATAAATCATAGTGATTGCGTTTTGAACACACACTGCCTATAATAACAGCTAAATGCTTTAGCATCGTGATTCTTCCGCGAATTCACATAAGTAAATAAGTTGCTAAGCTAAGCATAATCATGTTGCAATTAAAATTTTCCTACCTAGAGGAGAATTTGTAATAATTAGTAATTTCATTTTTTTTATTACTATTGATAATTAATATTTAATATCTTTATTAAATTACTTCTTTTACAAAAAATGGATCCATAAAGTTTAAGCAAAATAATATTTGTTGATTGAAAGGTTTTAACACATAAACATAATTTTGTAATTACTTATTACCATTCGCCGCCACTATTGTAAACCACTATAATATTAGCAGATCGATAAAAATATGCATAATAATATTAAAAATTAAATCTATTAATAAATTACACATAATAGTATAATGTTAAAACATTATATTATTTTCATTTATCTATTCTAATTATTTATCTGTTTCATATTATATCCTATTACTGCTATCACATTCAAGCTTCCGTGCTTATCAGTTACAATTATCACAAAAAAACTAATAAAAACTCAAGGAAATTAACGTGTTCTTAGAAAACCATGAAATTAAATATCAATACCTATTCACTATTCAGTGTATCACGCATTCGCGCATAACTTAAGTACTGCGTAGTGGTGATTTGTGACGAGGCCCTAGGTATGAAAATTGAAAAATTAAAATGTTGTATTTATGTATAGAAAGATGTTTATGTATGTTATATAGTCTTTATTGTACTAAAATTATTATTAGGTGTGTGTTTGGATATATGTCAAATATTATGGTAAACACTAAAAACTAAGTTCGAATTTTTATGTAAATAGAGCCAATAGAGGATAGGAAATTAACCGATTTTGACAAGTGTTTAGTATACCTCTAAAGATTTATTCCATTTTTATTTTTTTTCATACCTACCTATACTATTTTATATATTTTTATAAATAGATAATAAATATATGCTTAAAATAATTTATTTGCATGACTATCGTACACAGACAAAAATATAACAACACATATTATAGTAAAATCAAAACACATTCATTAATCCACTCAGAATTTAAAATACCAAACTGAATAAATCTCTAGAATTAATTACCTATCTGAAAATTATAGCATTGAATAGTCAATCAAATAGAAATATTATAAATATTAGTACACTCACTCAATATTTTAAAAATGGTTGTAAGCCAAAATAATTAAATAAATAATAATAACCAAATATTCTTGGGGGTAAGCCAGTTAACTTTTTAAATGAATAGTATTAGGACGCACTTGGGCTACATCAAAATATGATTTTTTTTCTTAAGTAGCTTCTTTTTCAGTATATTTCAGGGTGCATACAGTTATAGTTTTATAAATTATTAATGTGAATCTGTATGAAAATTAAATAAATTAATGAATTAAACTAAAATTGTAATACCTACATTAGTGAGATTCTATAATATTTGAGTTCAAAATATTAATCTTATTTACGTAATGTTACAAATAATTTTGTAGTTTTCTTGTAACACAAAATATTTTTATAGATTAAATTTATTTATAGTCTAGATCATATGTTATATAGACTACAAGAGTACCTATAAATGTACGATTTTATTTTAGGTAGGATCATAACATTTTAAATAATCATACGATTTGACTTTTCTAAAATAGATGCTATTAAAATTTTGAAAATTAAACTCACGCGTATATTTATTTACTTTTAATCATAGTTAGCGCTTGTTTGTTTGCTCGCATATAGATAGGTCTAGATACATCGCGAGTAGGTATACGATTAAATGCGACAATAACGCCCTTACCAAGTAAAAATGTTTTTTCGAATTCATAAAAAAAAAATTAATTATAATACGTGATACACGCACGTATAATAATAATAGCCATGGTCAATAGAACAACATCATCATTTTGTCGTTGCGTCGTGCCGTGTTGAGTGCGAGAGGGATTATTGTGGGAGTGGGACAAACAGCGCACCGGTTACATTGCTCACGCACAACGCGAACGCGATCCGATGGAGCTGGTCGTGGCGAACGCGACCGCGTCGTCACCGCTCGCGACTCCGGTGCTTCCGGTCCCGTCCGCCGTCCGTTCAACGAGCGTCGGCGTGCAGATTGCCTTTACCGGGCTGTCCGCGTTCGGAATTTTCGGCAACCTGCTGGCGCTGTTCATACTGCACCGGATCCGATCGACCAGCAACAAGAAACACGTGTTCATGTTGCGGTGTCTGGTCACCAACGATCTCGTCTTGCTCGTCGGTCGGGTGGTCCACATGTTCGTGAACGTCTCGTTGCCGTACACCAAGAAGAACGTGTGGTCCTGCCGGTTCAGCGTCCTGTGGCGGTTCTTCGGGCTGAACTCTGGGTGCGTGGCTCTCATGATGGCCGTCGAACGCTGGCTGGCGCTTACCAAACCGTTTTTTTACAAAAAGGTGCGTACCTAGTTGTCGCTGCTTCACGCGGTCGTAACTCTCGAGCCGTGCAAACAGTTGCGTCGTCTGTCGCGGCTAGTAGTCGCGGACTACTCGAGGTCCGCCCGATTCGAGGTAGATCACGGTTTAGTAAATTATACCGCGATCGCAATGGCCGATTAGAATCCATACTATACATGTATGAATATACAGTATACAGGAACATTAGGAACACAATACGACAGACGACGTAGCTGTGAGCCTGCAGGCTTTATAGAGCACGTTAAAAAAATGAGTAAATAACAAAAAAGTAGAATGTTTTTCATAGTTGTACATTAAAAGATGAAATGACCAATGATTACCAGCCGTGTAATCAATGTTATAGTTACTTGTGATAAGAAAAATAAAAATGTCCATCTACCAAAGTCGATACGTGCGTATCTATAAAACAAATGCTTTGAAATATACTTTAGAAATAAAACGTTGTACACGTTTTGCGTATTTAAAATCTTATTGAAACGTCAAAAGAATTTTGGGTTTATCGTTGTTTAGAATAGAAGAATCATACTACTGTGTTCATTTAGTTTATTGCAAGTTAAAGATTTTTATACTTTTGGATACATTTTATTTTTCAAACTGATTATTAGGTGAACTACCTTCCAATTTGAATCTATGCCTACTACAATGTTCAACAAAATATATAATTAAATTTATTCTGGAGTACTACCTATTAAGTGACAAAATTTTGATATTTTTATTGATTTACATACAAATTTAAAAAAAAAATATGGGTCATTGAGATAGACATGTTAAATTTAAATTTAATGATATATTATATCATTGTATACGAATATCGATTCTAAAAGGAGACATTATGTCAGTAGTCGGTATATCAGCCTAATCACTTAGTTTATTTCGTGTTAAAGTTTTTAATGAAGTAATTTATTTTACAATTAGTATTACAGAGTGTTGTATTAATTTTTGATAATAGCGTTGAATTTGGAAATATTATTGTGTGTTACAATAAATATTAACATTTTGATGTCAGTAAAAAATGTTAATGTTTTTTGTTTTTATTAATTTCATAATGTTTTTTGGGTTTATAAATTAAAGTAGATTATATCTTTTTGTAATAAATATTATCATATTATCACTCATAATACGAGTGGTCGCGACCGACGATAGTGATCATGCGAATAATTTATTATATTATGTTTAATGTTTCTTCTACTTGTCACTCATCACTCAAACATTATTAACCTAACCTAACCTAACCTATGCTACCACGCATTTCGAATACATTGTATATTAATAAATTATAAATAAAATACGTTTACTACTGACCATAAATTAATCAAACAAATATATTAGTGCATTGTTATTGGTTTAATTATATAAAAAAAATAATAATTTTAATCTAGATTTTATTATTTTCTAGCCAGGAATGGGCAAGATAATCAAAAGTCAGTATCGCGAAACTAGATACTTGGATTTAGAGTATTGAGATAATAGATACAAAATACAATTGTTTCTAAAAATATTAGATACTTGTATCGAAGATACTGCTCAACCCTGTTTCTTACTTAGTTCACAAACACTAAACCCACTTGATCTCACATTCTCATCTCTTCACATGCAAATAGACAATGGATTCAATAGAACTTTAATAACTTGAATTGGTTGGGGACAAAAAAAAATCGAGGTAGGTGCTTATAGAAAATATTTTATCAGACAACACAATACTTAATTTATAAAAAATTTCAAAAAAGTATTCTATAGTAATAATTTATAATTCTAGTAGTATAAAATTCTAAAAAATTGGCTATTCCTGATTATTTTTTTTACTATAGATCAGTGGACGGTAACTTTTTTGAAATCTTGGGCCACATTCACAAATAAGTTTAAATGGATTTATGAGAGTATTTTGTGATTGTAAAACTATAATTTCTATTTGAAGATCAATAAGAATTTAATTAATATCTATATTAAATGTATTTGAGAGTAGTGTTAAATATTGTGAACATTGTTTAAAATCTTAAAAGCGTTTATTAAATTCATGTTGAAGTGTCGAAATATCTTCATCAAACTTAATTATCGAAAACGAGGATTTCGACGGTTTAAATAACTTATATATATTGGAAAATGTGTTAGTTCATTTAATTCAATATGAGACTGTAAAAGTTTTGACTTAGCTTCAAACAATTTAATATGAGACCACGGATCAGGAATGAATTGATTTTTACCTTGATGTTTTATATTAAGATCATTTATATACTTTAATATATCAACGAAAAATAGCATAGGTACACTATACTACACACATAATGTTATATTTTATCACGACTGATTAAATGAAATGTGCAGTTAAATTATTTTTATTGAATATGTTTGAAATTTTGTTATACACATGTAGTTATAGGTATAATATGAAATTAAATTTCGTTAAACGGGCCACTTAAAAAGACGTGCGGACCGGATGCGGCCCGCGGGCCTTCGGTTGCCGACCACTGCTATAGATAATATAATTATAATTGAACCAAAATATAAATTTATTAATAATGCACAGTAGATAAACGTTAATTAAATATCAGCCGGAAATCTATTGAATTTATGGATCGTGCCTTTTGATTTTTGAATATTATACTATAAAGATTAGAGTGGTCTGATTACAATCGTTAATTTATGCATATTCATGTCGTATCCATGTCGCGTTTGATGTTTCGCGTAATGAACAACGTTTACGTCTATTTTTTGAAATAGAACCGTGATTTCTTCACTTCGCGTAATTACACAATATTGATTACATTTTTTGAATATTATACTAAATTGAACTTATTCCGTCATTTGGATGTTCTCATATAATGAATTAAAAAACTTTAATTTATATTTTAATTTTATTCTATATTATAACGAGCTAAACAATAAATTTGATGTTTTACACTTAATTTAATTATTATATATTACTATATTTAATTAACTGCATTACTAAAGATGAACTTTGTCCAAATTGAGAATATTCTGGCCTAATTTCCGTGGGAGATCCTTGATAAATTATAAAATCATAAATCATTCCAGATATTCCACATAAACAAAATAATTTTACGCCCCATTTGGTTGGTTTGTTTTTAATATATTGTTTTACATTTAATTGTCCCTTAAAAGGAACCATTTGTTCATCAACACTGAATGTTGGTTCTAGCTGTAAACTAGCACAATATTTTCGTATAGCTTCATATAAAGGCCTCACCTTCCAAAACCTATCATTAGTATTCGGGTCTTTATCGATTATAAAATGTAAATTATTTCTCAATTTAAAAAATCTATTTGAAGTCATATTTTCCGAAATTAATGGGACGGCGAATTTTGGCTCCCAGTACATACGCACTCGTGGTAAACCAAGATTTCCCATCAAAATATTTATGCCTATAAACGTTTTCAATTCCGCTACTGTAGTAGGAGGAAAGTTTGGTACATTATTACGAACAGCGAATAAATTTGTGTTAAAAACAGCGGTTTTTAATAATTCGTCTGAAAAATAATTACTAAACAATTGAAGTGGAGAAGATAAGTCGAAAGTTATATTTAGATGTGGTTCAAAAATATCAAAAGGTAGAGTTATGTATTCACCACGAATCCAAGTAACATTTTTTTTTGTCAGTCAAATCTTGTTTGGTGAAATAGTCGCTAGATGACACGGAGGAAGTAGGAACAACATTTTGAATATTATCTACTATATTTTCGTCAACTGCGTTTTCGTCGATTTCGACTTAAATATTTTCACCCATATCATCAAAATCTTCATTATTAGTTAAAAAGTCTGACAATAAAAAGAAACCATGAGTATTAAAATTGAAAATTGTATGAAATAAAATATTACAGAATGTAGTAAAAAGTAACATAATTTAGTATAAAACATAAATTACCTTCAAGTAATTTTAAATCCTCGTGACAATAATTATTTCCCAAATCATCGTCGTTAGCAAATTCCTCGATGTCGGAGTCATCACCATTTTCAAGTAAATTTAAAATATCATCGTCTAATAATTTACGTCAATCTTGACGAATCATATTTATTATATTTATACAACTTTAAAAAAAAAATAAAACAGTTATCACTATTCCGGAGCGTCACAATGTCCTTTACAGAGTACACGTACATAACGCACGATAACGTTCGATCGAATAAAAATTTTTAATATCTAACCCACAGATTGAATTCAGAAATACATATATTATTTATAAAAATAATCAACAATACTAAAAAGCGATAAAGATTAGGATAAATGACAAAACAAAAATGTACAATAATAGCATGTTTACGCTATTATAATAACGGAATAACGCAGATTAATACTAAAAATTCAGCCAATGAAGATAATAAGATAATAGGCGAAGCAACCGGGCAAATAAGAAATATATACTTGTCCTCTGGAGAGTACACTATGACTGAACACAGTTCCATATCATATTTGTCTATAAAGCTTATGGAAATCAAGTGTCCTCTTTATTATTATTTTTTTGAAAATATTTTACAAATAGGGTACTTTTAAACAAAACTATTATCAATTTAAATTTTAAACAAATATTTGATTTATGACAAAATTAAAATCGATATTTTAATTTTATTGGTTTAATTTAATGGTTATAGGATATACAAATATAATTAGAGTTTCTTAAACAACTTTAATAATTTAATGGATGACTGATGAAGGCATCAAATAATTTTATATATTTTGTACATTTTCTACCAATTATAATTTTTATCACATAATAAAAATCGAAATCAATATTAACTGTAAAATGTATGTGATTTCAGTACATTAGCCTACATTTAATCAAAGGAATGATGGCTATACTTTGTTTTGAAATATTGTGTTTAATGTGTGCACCATACTTTGGATTTGGATATGGTCGTTACTGGGACGAGAAATCGTCAACGTGTGTGGGTTATCGAAATGCCAAGAAGACTTTGGACGTGTTACACGTTTATGTATATTTAGGTCATGGTAAGTAAGTAATCTTATCTCCTGGTTTTAGGCAATATAGCTAATTAATAATATATAAACAATATAACAACAACACATGGTTTGACATTATTTAAAATAAAATTTATACACTCCTTCATTTGCGTATAATATAATATAATTATAATTACCTACCAGAAATACATACATTTTAAAAGGAATTCGATGTCCGTATTATAAGTAAGCGTATAATATAATACTTTATTTTACTATAAATAATATATTGCAGTTTATTGTGTATTCTAAATTAATGTCTTATCAAAAATATCATAAAAATGTTTAATTTGAATCATGAGTTTTATTTAAAATTATATAATTGGTTGTAAACCACATAATAGAATGCAAACGAAAATAAATAATTTAAATGTAAATTATTATTGATTGCAGGTAAAAATTAAGCTAAGCATTTAGACAAAATTAGATTTGAATTTTTATATAAAATAAAATATTTATAATATTTTGATTTTTGAGCTATTTATAGTTTTGAGACATTTTTGATTTTTAACATTTTTTTCAATAACTGTTAATAAAAAATATTTTTGATTGGTTAAAAATGTTGTATAAAGAACTTTATCAAATTTCAAAAATATTTTTTTACAAGTAGTAGATTTTATGATAATGAGGAATTTTGAAAAAATCATGAACATATACAAATCAAATAGTTTAAAATTCCTAAAAATTTTCTTTTATTTACATCTAAGATTTAAAAGTTTAATTAGAGATTCCTTATAATTTCTTCAACCCATAATAAAAATTAATGTTTTTGTTATTTTAATATAGGTGTATTTTTATGCTTTGCAATAGTCTACACGAACTTGGCTGTTATGAAAGCACTGTGCATGAAAAATAGTCCTCACAACCAGCATATTGTGACAATAAGACGCACCAACCAAGAATCGTCATTGCCTTGCAACATAGCTACCAAAGAAGAAAGATCATTCGGTTGGCTCATGTTTTTGCTGTGCGTTACGTTTATCATTTGTTGGGTTCCACAAATGGTTAGTGTAATAAATAACACGTTATAAAACAATACATTAATAGTGATATTGAATATTGGTCTATTGTTTAAAAACTTTTGTGTCATTTAATATTAGTAATTCACGCGACACATTTGGACTTCCTTGGTGACACACCGGTTGAGTACCACGGATTTAGAAAACTGTGCGTATACTAACCAGTACAGCCGTGTTTGTGCTTTGTACCCGTATTTATAATCGCGGACTTACTTCTCACGTCGGTAACGCAGTGACTGACGGTAACATTTGGAAAAATCCATTATTATACAAAAATACACGGCAGTGCTGAGGAAAACTCATCGCCACAATGGTATCGGTGGCGGTTATCGTTATTGTCGGTGGTGGTTGTTGTTCCTCACGATTTATTTCTTTTGATTCTGCCGGTGCTTTTTTAATTTGTTATGATTTTTAACCATTTAGTTTGCATCAGTAACTCAATTTAAGTTACCTATACAATATGATCCCGAAATTTGACATTATCATATGCGCATAATAGTAAAATATTAATTTATCGTTAATGCGCGTGTGGTTTCCAAGAATAGATCGCATGTCCAAATTTGCACGTTATGTTGTGCCTTGTGCAACCAGTACATGCCATTGGACAGACCCGGACTCCATTTAATCCAGCTGCGCAGTTGTGATTAGTAGACTCTTTATAGATCTCTCGACGCCAAACGTAAACATATACAATGACAATCGGCATGCTAGCCTAACCTAACCTATTCGCTCACATATATCGTCTGTTGGCACTCTTATTTTAAGACAGTTATACAGTGTAAATTATAATACATAATACTAGCTCAATACTATTTTAAACAATGTACATAATGCTTAGAAAAGGTATTGTAAATTTTGAAAGATCATATTTTATTTCGAAAAAAATTGTCATACGATATAAACTGTTTACCAACAATTATTGTAAACAACAGGTTCGCAGGAATATTTTTCGGGTATATTGAATATCACATCACTTTAAATTTTTGATGTGATCTCCACCATAGACTATAACGACGCATATTTGATACACGAAAAATGCTTTTTGTTGAGTTGTGTTGTCATCACGTTAGGAATTTATAGGAAAAAAAAACCATTCTTTCCCATCACTCGTGTTGGTATACAAAGAAGTATCTACCAATAGCTAAAAAAAATTTTTGAACTATCCTTAGAAAATGTTATGTGCCAGACTCGTATAGCTTGATTACTTTCCGCTCCATGATTTTTTTAAATTCTACTCATCTTTTATAGACCCCCTGAATTATTTATCTATATTCTGTATTAATAAAAGTTAATATTTGTGTATTACAATGTTTATTTTTATGTAAGCAAAAAATTATTCAATTTTCGTGAGTCAAAACGAAATTTATAATATGTTAGCTAGGATGACTTACATGGTAAGTAATTTACTATTAAAGTTGAAATCTCATCTTATCTCGAGAAATATACTGATATACCTAAATTTATTGAAATTGAAATAGTAGTTTTTAAAATTAACATTGAAAACTCATTTCATATTTATACGTTTGTATGCTTTTCGACAGATATCGATACCATTATCTAGGTTTGTCGAGGATGAGTCGGAAATTCGGCCGTTTATCATTACCACAGAAATGCTGTTGGTTATACATTTAGCGCTTAACCCATATCTGTATGTGCTCCAGCACTGGACGTTAGTAAAGACCATCTTCTTGAGCTCGAAGATCAATAATAACGTTAATTCTAGTAGCACGAGTGGAACTCTAGAAGTCTATGAAAACAGCGAAAAAGTATTATCAGAGCAGCCTCTCTAATTCCGATGTACGATGGCTGTAGTTTGCTGTTTATAAGTATGTATAAGCGTGTATTTGGACATAAATGCATAATAAAATACAATTGTAATATATATACATATTATACACGCACACACACAATTATATGTGTTAAGATGATATTATATTAATATTTTTCATTTTTGGAAAATTACCAGTGAATGTGCTTGTGATTGTGTGCCAAATATATATACGAATATGTATAATATTGAATTTATATATATGTAAAATAATTGAACATACGTTCAATAACAAATTTATTTTCCAATTACAGGATAAAGTCTAATGAAAAATTATATTTTTGTTCTAAATGATATATAATACATCATATATTAACTCTGCACTAAACAAGTTAGCATTAGTTTTTATACCATATTTTGATTACTTTTATAATTTTATCTCGGTGATAATTTTATTTAACTTGGTGTAAGACAATAATTTATAGTTCTTAATGAAGATAATATTTTTTTAATAAGCGATATTGGTGTTTGATATTGGTATTCGTACATGCGTCATTCGGAATTTGTATCGTATATACTTTAGTGATCGTTTCATATGTGATAAATGTAATGTAAAGTGTATACTGAATTAAGTATTGAAATTGACTAAAAAAATTCAAAAAAAATATCATAATGGAAATGGTAATTCGTTTATTTTAGCCAATGGACAGATATAGACAATCCAAAATGTTAAAAAAATGTGGTAATACACCGATGTATTTATGAAAATTGTCTTTCTAGTCTGCTTGTTAATGATTATGTTACAATAATTATTACTATGTTTCATGATCATAATCGTGAAATAAATCAAGAGCAAGATAGTTTAAAAATAATAAAAGTTCAATGAATGATTATTTGCAGGTAATGGGACTTTCTTTTTATGCTAGCCACAAAATATAATTTTTAAATACACGTGTAACATACCATGACATTGTGAACTAACTGTACGATGTTCTTCGAAGAACCTCGTCATGGTATGTAGTATATTAGTAAATTTGTAGTTATAATTCATAATATGTTTTAATTTTGTACGAACAAAAATAATATTGATTATAGATTATGTCATTTATATACTATAATAATTTAGAACAAAAATTCAAAGAAAAATATAATTTTTAACCAAGCCAACGATGGTAAATTGTTGTCAGTTCTAATTCTGTAATTGGGAGAATTTATTTGAATTAACATTTAGTTATTAAATGCTTATATATGAAAATTATAAAATATATGACTTATTGTAACTGTACATTTTATATAATGTAGTATATGTATAAATTTTTTTTTTGTTATTTACCAATAAATTATATTATATTATGTTTTTATTTATTTTCCATACACCATGCGATATATTATATTATATTTAATTTATTTTTATGAAAAATAAAAATATAATGAAATATATATATATATATTATAATATACCAGTATAATTGTATATTATATATTATAAATGGCTTTGTGTTACCTTTAAGGTATAATTATTATGAAATTATATCCTTATTATATTATTTTACAACAATTCATTACGACATAGATTATTACATTTAAATAGCGTGTTATTTTAAAACATAAACTCAGACTGATAGGCAACTTTACACGAACAAGACAAAATCGTTGCTCTCCTAATATTTTAATAATTTCTGGCAGTGAAAATTCAACATTTTATCAACTTGGTCATTAGTGAAAAATTATTGAATTGTTGATTCTTCAAACATTTACTACTGAACTATCCTTAATAGTACACCATATTTTTGTTCCAAGCTTTTGCAATCCTTTATGTTTTGTTTCGTGATTACACAAATTGTGTTTGGATCTATAGGTTCTAAAGTTTCGGTACCCAGAATACAATGCATTTATTAAATTATTTCAAAATCGTCTACTATTTTTCAATCAAAAATAATTTTAAATTGAAATCTAAAAGAACATTTTACCGTATTCTATTATCTATCTTGATTATTTTTTTTGCATCTATAATTTGACTTCCGTTTCCTCACGTTCACGTTGAATTAATATTTTCTTACTTGAATCGCATAATTGGCAGATAATTTTATAATTTTCAGCAATTCCTGATAAAAGCAATCTCATTTAAACTTTACAAATACTGCAGGGAATTGAACGTTTTTCAATTTTCTTGATTTGAGATTTGTGTTCGAGATCTTTTTCCGTTGTTAATTACTTTAACATATCAAATGGTAAATTTGATGTAATACTTTCGTTTATAAAATATTATACTCAATTATATATTATAATTTAATAAATATTATATAGTTTATTGGTAAATAACAAAAATAATTGTTTTATAATAATCACACAAATTACACAATATAGGTATTGTCTATTTCATGAAATGGATGTCCATTTAATGTATTTTCGTCAAAATTCATGATTTGGATGAATTTTACAATCTAAATATTATACAGTTCATAAAATGAGTAGTTTCACTATATGGACGTGATATAATATATAGTATATACACTCATTATTTAATGCGCAATCTTGTAGTAATTAGTTAATTAGTGGGATCGAAAAAGGGAAAAGTGCGTGATTGTATTGCACTGCATCTCAATATCATTTATTTTTAAGGCATCTTAAAAAATGTTCACCAAATAACTTTCATGATCTTATACCAGAAAATGTGTATCTCCTCTCATGAAACCAATTTTTAAAATTTTGCAGTTTAAAAAGATGTTTGCGCAGGGATTTGCTGGCTCATGAAAAACAAATATTATTTTGTTTACGGGAAAATCGACATTGATGTTCCTCGTTTTGTAAAGAAATTCTGTCACAAAGATATTTGGAATATTTTTTGAATGTTATTTCAAACTACCACTAAAATTTCTGATCGATTCTTTAAAAGAACTATCTTTGGAACTTTGTTATTAGATTTGTTTAGATTTTTTTCGTAGCTTATATTGTTGGTTTTCATTGAACAAATAAAATCAAATTTATCATGTCATTTAACTATATTAATTACTTTATGTATCAGTACATTTTATTATACCTATGTGAAGTTAATATTTTATATGTTATGTTATATTATTGTAATTAAATAATGATTTCGAGCGGAGACCGTCTATCAACCTTTATCACTAAGTATATTGTAGGTATGTTATATTTGTTGATACTGCTATTAGTTAAAGTAATTAATTTCACTATTAGTTATATAGAAAGTTGAATTCATTTTTGATGAAAACGTTGCAGTTAAAAAGACCTATCATTGTGTTTTATAGTAAATGTTAACTTTTTGTTGTTAACATTATTTGTTTTTATTGTTAATAATATAAATACATTTATATTTACAATTACATTTTATGTAAGTTTTGGTCCAATTACTGTTGTATATTATGAATATTATTGAATTTTGCTTTATTAATAAAATAGTGTAGGTACTAAATTTTAATTCAATGTCATACTCATATTATATAATGTATAATTATTGTATACGAAAAAAAATTCTTCGCTGAAACTGATTATTAACCTATATGACTTAATATATTCCATGGTATGTTTTTTGATATATCTATTAAAGTAATTAATTTTTTTATTGGTTTTACGGTATTTTTGCTTAAAACATTGAATTTATTATTTTATTAGTATTGAATTATTACAATATATGTTTTTTTGTTTATACCATATATTATCATTATTAACTTTTGTGTTATTACACCTTACTATTTTAAAGCAGTGTGATCAATTTATAACAGATTCATCGAATAAATTGTTATCTTATAATGTATCTTTTTATTTTAAAAACAGCATTGTGTATTAGTAAATTCATAATATAGATGTAGAAAATTAAAGTTTCCATGAATAATGTTTTGAATAAAACTTACATTGTTTTTCATCGTTTAACTATGTAATTTTGTCCAAATTTGTACTTCAAATGTTTAAAAAAAATATTTGAATTTATTAATTAAATAGATTTTTGTTGGTTTTACTATGAACAAAATGAGGGGTATTGTCTTAAACTTTCAAACTATGGCTATAAAAATTGAATATTTTATAAATTATTTACTACAAAATACTTATAGTTAGTAAATTACTGTGATTTCGAGGAATTATGTCAAATTTTGAATATAATTATGATGAATTTGATACATTATTATTATAGTTATCGGAATTTATTGATAGTAAAATTACAATTCTTTATTGTGCTTTATTATCTTTCAATATTATTAATGATTTTATGAATAGAATGAGGGATATTTTAGATAGAGAAAAAGTATATTATTGACTATAATGATTATTGTACTATAATTATGGAATATAAATATTAATATTAATAGTTAGTTAATAATTATTTTATAGGTAATAGATATGTCTCATGACAGTTATAAAACGTATATAAAAATTAAATATAGGTACATGTTAACTAAAATGTCTTTTATAAATAATAATTCTTATTTAGACTATATTTAAGCTAAGAAACTCGATCAGGACTTAAGAATATAATTTCAAACAAATTGAAACATTTGTCAAATAACTCAGATAACCGAATATTTAAAAATAGTAATAGCTATACTATTGTCAAGGTTCAGAACAAAATTTTAATACTAGAAATAATCTTCAAAATGTAAAAAATTTAAACTATATAAGTATTATTTTGTATGTAAAGTATACTAAAGAGGAACATTTGTTTACTTTTACAATATAACTACAGAACTGATGTAAATAAGTATGTTAATTTTTTTATTATGAGTATCTATTAATGTAATTGAGAAAGCAAGCAGTATCAAAAATGTAAATTCTAAAAATTTCAGAATAATAAATAATAGATAAAAAAAAAAAATATTAATCTAAAAATTCATTTTAGTATTTCTTATAACTATGTTAAATTTAATAAATCTTAATATATGTATACTTTATAATAATTTATTATTGAAATAAATTTAATACAGTTATAAGAAAAGCTAGAATGAATTAATTTCTACAAAAATAAGTTTTTTAAATTCTAAGTTATAACGTAGCTTAAAAATAACTTAACAGTAAGAATACTGGCATATTTTTGGTAGTTTAGTAGTTGGAGATTTGGAAATAAAGTCTATGATTTGTAAAAGTATCCTCTTGATTTAGTAAATAAAAATCAAAGCATTTTTGTCACCCTAAAAGTGATAATTAATAACAGAAAGAAAAAAAATACAAATCATTGTAAAATCAATACATTTGTTGCTGTACAGAATATAACATTAGTAGTTATCATTACAAGTAAGTACATATATTTTTATTTCTTATTTTCATCACTACTTTCTATACTTTCTTTAATGACCCAGTAATGGTAGATAGGTAAGAATTATAGGTATATTATATAACAAAAGAATTTTATTTTACAAAAATGAAACATTTTAAATAATATAAATTATTAAATATTTCACAAAATATAACAAAATATTTGCAGACCAATGACGTATAAAGTTGCAATGTAATAACCTGTGTAAAATCATTATGTACTATGTATAGATACTCTATATTTAGACAAATTCAATTTTCAATTTATTTTGGAACGTTTTTCAGCATAAATAACGTTAGATGCTTACCACGAAAAAGAAATGCTATGTCGCCGTAGTAAACAGTAAATTGCATATGTAGGCTAAATCCTAATAACGGAAGAAACATTTAAGAAACTAGTAAATCTGAACGAAAACAAAAAGATTTGTTTGCTGGGCTTTCAAAATTCTATTGAGTATAGTGATGAAAAAAAAGTGACAGACGTCAAGAACATAAAGTAGTTTAAACGACACTAGTAGATGGCACTGTTGTATTAGTCCCGTCCAGATGACTCCATAATTTTATTTTGTGAGATAATAGTGGTGTAGTATAATGATGGTGACTGGTGAGGGCACCAAATATTACAAACTTGCATAATTTTATCAACCACAAGTTCACAATAATTAGTTAGTACTAATAAAAAAATCAGCTTAACCTTTTTTTTTACTAATTAGATAGACTTATAGTGTAGACGTAGTGAAGTTATTATCAATATTTTTTGGAAAATTTGTACTTATTTGATTTAGCAATTGATTTTTAAAATCGTATTACAAATTTTTTTGTAATTTTTTTGACTGAAAATATCAAATAAATACCTACAGTACCTAGAACTGTAGATATTTAATTTAATTTTTAGAACCCTTAGTAATTTATTTACTAGAATTTGTCTAAAGTATAGACAGTATAATTAGCATTGGTTCATTGAATTTAAAATTCAATTCAAATATTATTAATTATGTTTAGATAAATGTGCTGATTTATGTATTAAATCGTATTAGAAAGGGATTCAAATTTTAAATATTTTTACCTACATTGAAACATATTGAATCGTAATAATAGTATACACCAATGTTCTCGAAGTTGTATAAATAATAATAATTGCTCGTACACAGAAAAAAACAATGATGGGGGACGGTCAATATAAATATTCCTAAATTAAATAATTAAATATTAAAATGAGTTATTTTAAATAGTTATTTCTTGAATTTTTTTTTATTTATGTTTTAATTTTTTATATTATAGGTATTAATATATATTGGCTTATATTTATGTAAAGTTCTTATTTGTGTAAGTCTTGGAAACCGGGTGATGTAAATATTTTATAAATACAATATAGATAAATACATTTTTTTTAAATTTTTTTTTTTTTTTTATTTAACGGTTTGAAATACACAATCTGTACAACGTAGAACAATAAGTTTATGTGATATTATAATAGTAACATGAATATTTTGAATTAAAAAATCACCCATTGGTGACACTTGGCTGGAAATTATTGATGTCTAGAGTCTAGAACTTCATTATTTTTTTATTTTTATTTTTTTATGACAAGTCACGGCACCAGTTCCTTTTTAGACGACGCTCGGGGTTTCCTGGTATAATTTGAGTGTGGAGGCTCTTTATCAATGGATTTTGGTGGGTTTGTAGGCGATTATGAAAGTGTTTGTAGAAATCTACAGCTTCTTCCGTCACAATTTTCATTGTGAGGTCTTTATGTAAAGTATAGTTGGACACGAAAGGTGGAGCACTTATAATTTTCTTAAGAGTAATATTCTAGAACTGTTAGATTTTGTTGGTATTAGATACTTTTACAGCACCCCACAATTGAAGACCATAGGTCCACATTGGTTTAAGTAATGTTTTATACATGAGAACTATAACTTATAATTTAGAGTGTTTATTATTTGTAAGCAAGGAACGTAGTCTGCAGAGTCGGACATTTAAGGCAAGTCTTTTGATACGGATGTGGGCGTTCCAAGTAAGGTGTTTATCCAAATCGAGTCCTAGGTATCTGACTGTGTTAGACGTTGGAATAGGAGCATTATGTAAAGAGACATTTGAACAGAAGGAGTGATATAAAGTGAATGTTGTATGTACTGACTTATTTGGATTTGGTTTAATTCGCCATTTCATGTACCGCATTCTGATATTAAATTGAGATGAATTTGAAGGTTCGAAGATGCAATTTGAGGGTTTTTGTCAATTGAGATAATGGCTTTGTCATCTGTGTAATCGGTTACTATAGTATTTTGAGAGACGGTTGGTCTGATGTGTAAATATTAAATAAAAGGGACGAGAAGATTCCACCCTGAGGGACATCAGCGAAAATTTTTTTCAATTTTCGAGACAAAAGATCCAAACCGGATTTGGAATTGGCGGTTTGTTAGATAAGACTTAAGAAGTAAGTATAAGGAGGGGCAAAGGAAAGTAAATAATTTAAATTTTAAATATTTAAGTTTTAGAGTGAATAACTATTTTAAAATTTTTTTTTGGAAAAAATAATAAAATAATTTAATGTTCTACGCAAGGGTGTCATTTTAGGTTTTTTTTGGGTGTGTGAGATTTTAAGCAGACCACTTTGAAATTTCACCAGGCCATATAAAAAAAAAAGATATACATATATATATCCATATAATACTGTTTTCAGTTATTTCCATTTTTCACATGTACCGAATTATTGCATCAA